GATAGGTGTTTAGCATTATTTACATTTCTTCAAAAAAAATTTAATCAAATATTTTAGAAGTTAATAATAAAAAAGAATTTTTTAAAACATTTTATTTACCTAAAAACTTATAATTCCAGGTCATATACCATTCATTCCATTCCCTCTAATTGGGATCAACTTATTAAATAAAAAACTTTCAAAACAGTTCAGACTTTTATGTATAGACAAATATAAATAAAAATGAATCAGTATAAATAAATAAAAATGAATTTATTTCAAAAGTTGTTAAAAAAAATGTAGTTTCGATATTTATTTTTTCATTCCTCAATTTTATTTCATTATGCTGAAAGGTGCTCACAAAAATTTTCTCAAGGAGGAGGATGCAACTGATATACACTACATATATATTTAAACTATATATAAATAATATAAGCAGGAAAGAAAAACAATTTTTAAAAAATGCGGTTCAAATTAAAACGCCTTTGTAACACATTTTTAGATAGGAAGCTTTGGTTTAACTCCTCCCGTTCGCTGAGATACTGTATCTTGACGTCATAGCAAACCACGCCTCATTTTATGTCACGTGAAGTTAGTTTCGTTTTGGGCTAATTTTAAGTTAAGTTTTTTTTAATATTCGGGTCAGTTTTTTAAATTCTGAATTGATTTTAGGGAGTTTTAAGATATAAACTATTCAAAATAATCAATATTCTGCGATTACCCGAAGCATGCAGGTTCCTCATTAAAAATGAAAACTGTTGCCAGCGCGAGAAAAGAAATATCATCGGTTTTATTGATACATGCATACGTACGTATTAGCGTTTTATATAATATAGAAGATAGATTAACATTTTTTTTTTATGTAGATGATTTTTAAATAAAGTGATTTATTAGGAAATAGAAATTATTGTTGTTGATTGAGAGACATAACAATTCCTTAAGAACAAAAATTACAATCGAGTTTAGTTGTCGTATTTTATCATTATTTGCTTAGAAATGAATTAAATGGCACGGATTGTTTTAATGATAATGACCATTTCATTTTTTCTTAATTGTGGTTTAAAAAACGCAAAAAATTAACGCAGTGTAAAAACTGTAAAACAGCTATGACAATTTTCAAATAAAAGTAAAATGTGCTTCTAACTTTATCGAATTCACAAATTGAAAATGGGCTTCTAGCTATATCCGAAACACTTTCTTTCGAACTCATTTTCGTTTGATTTTTGGATTTATTTAACTTAATGTCTTATGATAAATTTTATTTCTTTTCATTCATTATCACAGAATTTTCTACGTCTACTATTTTAACTTAAATTTAATGATTTTTCACGGATTTTAATAGCGGGGATCTCTATTATAATGTTTATTTATAGAAATGTATATTTAGAGAAATTATGTTCAATATTTAACCCATTTTCAGGCCGAAGGTCCATAAACGCATCTTTTCAATGAATATGTTTTTATTGAAATGGTATGGAATTGTGCTTTGCATTTATTTCACTAAATTCATTTTTTTTGTCGCGAGTTCTGTAGACATCTCTAAATATTAGTAATTAACTTATAGTAAACACTTTCGCTTGCAAAAGTTTTAAACTACTCGAGTTTAACTACGAATTCAACTATTTCAAATTGTATAATTCATTCTTTTGAGATTAATCATATCTTCTTACGAAAGAAAAACAGTCGCAAGTTTGGGACATTAAATAAAAATTAAACGAATTTTATTTAAAAAAAAAACTAGTGTTTAACTAATTGGTTTGTCCATCGGTTCGATACATGGTGCACATATGCAACATTTTATTTCGATAATAAAATATTATTTTTCATGCACCGAGCTTTTTTTGTGTCTTAACGAAAGTAATTTAGGCAGATTTCAATGAAATTAATATCGCATTTTATAAAATTTCTAATCTTGGATAGAAATTAGTAAAACATCTATAATGATAGATTACCAAACCAAAAAGCTTCCTGCAAATAATATACAGCTGGTAAAACTTTCTAAACTTGACATTTATATGGCAACACATTGATTTTGAAAAGAATGCATTCCAAATTTAAAGATATTCCAACGATATGTAATCGCTTTTGAATATTTTTAGAAAGTAATATGGATTAGCCTTAAACTATATAAATATGCTTAGCGTTTGGTATTATAAAGCAAGCTGCAGTTTTTCATGTACCAAATTTCTCCAATCCGAGGTTAAACAAATCTGAAGAAATAACAAAAACTTAGAAACGTTTTAGTCACTGTTATACTGTTTTTTAAGATCGGAATAATTAGTCAGAGCAAACAGGTTTTTCCTTC